AAAACAGGAAAAGAGCTGCTACCAAGTCAGATAAGCAAGACCAAGCCTGTTCCAGGCCTTGATTTAGTGACCATTCAAAGTTATGTCACAGAAGAAGTGACTTACAATCATTTTTCACACTTACGGCCCTTGTACCATCCCCACGGTCAGCTGATCAAAATTCAAGCACTTGGCAACTGACTCATATTTATGATGGTTGCAGTGCCCTGGGGTCATGTAAATCACCTTTTGCAACTTCCTGACAAGCAAAGTCAATGGGGAAGCCAGATTCACTTAAGAACCATGCTACAAACTTAACAACTGTAGTGGTTCACTTAACAGCTGTGGTAAAACAGATCATAAAATGGGACAAAATTCACTTAACAAATGTTTCACTTAGCAACAGAAATTTGGCGCTCAATTGTGGTCATAAATCAAGGACTACCTGTAATATGAGATACCTTAGACAAACCTTCCTCAGTTCACACATAAAGTGATGGGACGGGGGAATGCACATTCAGACTTCAAAATTCGGTTACTACAGCTGTTACAGTGAAGAAGTCTGACCTACAGGGCATTGATTTTTTAGCCTGGCCTGATTCATGGGGATGAAAACAATAAAATCGTAACAGTTGCAATAAAAACTCTTTGAACCTTGGAGCACATTTTCCAACACATCAGTCTTCTGTATTACTGGGCTCCATCTTCATTCTACCCCAAAGCTTGTGGGAAAAGCCATCTCTTCAAGACCTTCTAATGCACGGGTGTCAAACTCAATCACATCATGTGATGTCATGTGACGTATCGCCACGGTTTTTTGCCTTTGCGGAGCCATGGTGGGCGTGGCCTGAGTGTGATGCATCTGGCCCGTGGGCTGCCAATTTGACAGTCTTTGATACCCTTTGATACCCAGAGGAGTAATTCCTCGGGAGGATCCCCAGGGCAGGGGCAGCTATGGAGAAGGTGAGCTTTCTATGTCCCTTGACAACATTTTTAAAAAGGGTCCTGGAATGTGCCCATCCTATCTGATCTGGTGGGATGGGCAGAAAGCCTCAGGGAGATTTATAGGGAAACAATTACAATTTGTTAAAGAAAGGAAGTGAAATAAATCTATAAATGTTTAGAGTCTATGAAAAAATCAATAGAAAGGGAGTCACAAATGCCGCCATGAAAATGCTTTAAAAAATGTAGATGGTGAAATTGGAGCAATGTTAAAATATAGATTCTTGCTAGCAATAGCACTTAGATTTATATACTGCTTCAGTGCTTTGCAGCCCTCTCTAAGCGGGTTAAAGAGTCAGCATATTGCCCCCAACAATCTGGATCCTCATTTTACCCACCTCGGAAGAATGGAAGGCTGAGTCAGCCTTGAGCCTGGTGGGATTTGAACTGCCAAATTGCAGTAAAGCCAGCAGTTAACAGAATTAGCCTGCAGTACTGCACTCTAACCACAGCGCCACCAAGGCTACTTGTTCAATTTATGGTGAAGTCTCAATCTTGTGCCCAACGACTGGAAGACTGGTATTTGTGTACTGTTCCCCACGTAAAGACAAATATGGCAAGAGTGAGCAGAAAAACCTTTGGGGGATTAGTTTGTTAAATGGACCTCAGAAGTGGTAGAATTCTATCTGAAATAATAAGAGAAGTAGCGATAAGCCAAAATTGGGAAGGGAAGTACAGTTTTATGCCAAGTGGAAAGATGTAGGCCAGATACGTGTTACTAACTTAACAACTGCAGTGATTCACTTAACAACTGTGGCAAGTAAAGTAATAAAATAGGGCAAAACTCACTTAACAACTGTCTCACTTAGCAACATAAATTTTCAGTTCAATTGTGGTTGCAAGTTGAGGACTACCTGCATAATAAAATTAAAACAAGCAGAACAATGAACTACATCCTTGGTGAATGATTTAATACTGAAAGGAGTAGGACAATGGGTGTGTGTTGTGAATAGTATGTGGTCTGCTGCATGAATATTTGTCAAAGTAAGTGAAAATGGCTAGGTGTAGGAATGATGTTTTGTCCACTTTGTTACTGGATGTGAGAGATATCTATGTCAGGCAATTGAGTGCAATGGGTACTTAAGAAGTGTGTGTGTGTGTGTGTGTGTGTGTGTGTGGTAAAACAAGAAAAGATTGGGTCAGGAATGAATGGGTTCTGGATGAACGTGAATACAAAAATGAGTGATCTTGTGTGAAAGAAATGTATTGAGCAGGTTGGTGATGTAGAGAGAACAAATGAGGATCAAATCACAAAACAAATATACAAAGGGAGAGTGAATGGGTCAAGAAGGGGTGAACCAAGAAAGTCATGGGTGGTTGGAACTGATGAGATTTGGAAAAAGACAGAGTTGAGAAGTTTACAGAATAAAAGACAATGTATGAAGTGGTGTATGGATGGAGTGGGAACAAAAGAGCGTACGTGATGATGTCCGGGCGGGTGAGTGGAGCCTCCCGCTGCCGCTACTACCGGTTTGCCCAAACCAGGGCGAACTGGCAGAAACCCACCACTGGCCACCAGGCTAAAAAAGAAGAGACCATGAGTTCAAGTCTCACCTTAGCCATGAAAGCCAGCTGGATGACTTTGAGCCAGTAATGCTTTTTCAACCCAAACAACCATCTCACAGGATTGTTGTTGTGGGAAACAGAGAGGGAAAAGAGAAAGATGTGTTGGATATGTTTGCTGGATATATATACACATATACATATACATATACATATACATATACATATACATATACATATACATATATATTAGAGTACAAGATAGATAATGATGCTGCTGTAAACTAGATTATGCTATGTTTCTTTTCTTTTCTTTTTTCTTTCTTTTAATTGCTTTGGCTAAGTATTTCTTATTTTCCTTTTTGTGCTTATAACATTGTTTATCCAAAAGGGAGTAAGTAGGCTTTGTACTTTAATGTTGTAGAATGCTACATATAAGCAAAATAACACCAGGAAAAAAAACGATGGGAAAAATAACAAACTAGAATGGAGAACTGTATAATTATATATGAGAGTTAGTTTATTTTAATCTCAAGCCTCTTAGAAAAAAAGCTTTAGTGTCCTGAATAGTTCCAACATATTTTACTCTTCTAATTCTCTTCCAGTGCCCTAGATTAATCAAAGCTGTAACCCCTGTTGTCTTTGCAGTACAATTCAGAATGTGCCCCTGGCCAAGAATGACGGAAAAGTCAACAGGAATTAAATTTCAGTGCAACTGTTTACTCTACTGTGGCCTGCACTTATTGAAATGTTATCCATGGTTTTGTGTGACTACTGCAGTAAGGAATTCAGCATGCTTGTGATATTTTTAATGATTGCATTCTCACCTAAAAAAAAAATCTATGAGAAGAAAAAGATCTGTAGATTGAATTTAGTATCATGAAAATGTCAAGCCCCTAAAATGTAGGGGATTTGTGTTAAAAGTCCTCTCCCCCAGGAAAAAAAACAAATTTTGTTATGGCTTTTTTTCTACCATACAACAATCTGCTGCCAAGATCATCATGCACACTAAAAAAACTTTACAGCTGTCAAAATTTTCAACACTATTCCAAACTCCAGATCAAGGATTTTTTAAAAAGTAGAATTAAAATTTGCATCATTTCAGAGATATTAAATATTATATGTATCCCCATGTTATGCAATGCCAGTACTATTCAACAGAACTGTTACAATTAAGTTAGACTTGTATTTATATTGTTAAACTGAGTTAAACTTGTATTTATATTGTTATTAATGTGATCTTTATTATCCTATTCTTCTCATACAAACAAGTATTCAAATAATTCATATTCAAAACTGTTTTGTTCACGCAACGACTGACACAGAAAATAAATGGGATATGTAGCAATAAATGTAATTTCATTGTTGGAGACCAATAAATACAAATGCTTACTCATAAGGGATTCAAGTAAGCATCTTTTTGTACTCTTAGAGGAAAACACTTCCTTCATTAGCAAAGTAAAGAGGACCTGATTACCAATACAGAATGATTACGGTTACAGCTTTCCATCCTTCCGAGGTGGGTAAAATGAGAACCCAGATTGTTGGTGGCGATACGCTGACTCTGTAAACCACTTGGGCTGCAAAGCACTGTGAAGCTGTATATAAGTCTAAGTGCTGTTGCTATTACACAGTTAAAATTGCAATAATTTCCTTTTATTGTAATCAGTGCTACAGTTTGGGGGGAAATAAGAACACATCTGAAACACCTGGATTATTAATGAAGATTTATGAAATGATCAATCATGCTATTTACTTAATCCTCAGATATTTAGTGTAGGAGTCCCCAAACCTGGGTCGCAGACGTGGCACATCGGAAACCAGGCCACGCAAACGAGCAAAGCCACATCTGTGCATGCATGGGATGCAGGGAGCCTATGAAATCATGCCCTCTCCGGTCTGCGGAAAACCCTCTCTCCACGGAACCAGTCTCCGGCAGTTGGGGGCTGCTGATTTAGTGTTTGTTATAGCACTGATTTCAGGTTCACTATTAAAGCGAAGAAAGACTCTTCTTCTTAGGGTCATTTCTGTTATGTCCCTGTTAGGGACGAACAGACTGAGGCAAGACAGGTTGAGGTAAAAGCTAACAGGATTTATTTCACTAACATTGTTCTAACAGATTTGCTAGCATTGCGACCAGCAATGGCTGCTCGGCTAACAGGAGCAGCAGCTGTCAGCCTTTGACAGCTCCTTATATACTCGTGCCTGGATTGAAACAGCCAATCAGAGCACGGCTACATCTGTAGACTGGAGGGGAGCTGGATACAGCAATTTCTACCAACGAAATGCTGGTAGCGCAGGAGTTGATATGATACAGTTCCTTCTCTTTAAGGTTATACTTCAGTTCTTCAGAATCCCAATCAATTAATATCATATAAATACATGCTTTAAAGTATTTATTTGCTAGAAAATACCACCATATTTTTTTTATGATGTGAAGAATTCTTTCAACCTTTATTTCTGTATACAAGAATATTTCAAAAGTGATAAAACATTGGTAGTATATTTTACAGTACCTGCTGTTGCTGAAGATGGGCAAGATCCGCAGCACCGATTTCCAACGAAGGTGTCTCTCCGTTTGGTCTTACTTCACGTAGGGTGCAATCTAGTAAGGAGTTGACAGTGCTTGCTCCATTCTGAAGGGCTGAACCGTTACTTTTTGTCTCAGTTCCAGATTCTTGCATCATGACTCAAAAACCTGGAATAATTTAATGGAAGAAAGGAAAAATAATTAATAAAGTAGATGGTAAAAGATTTCACTTGCTTTACAGCTTGCTACAATTAAAAATATTTGCTCCCTCTCTTCATGTGATTTATATTTTCATTATTAGTTGAGGCATAAGTTACATTGATCTATTGGTAATTCTGCACATTTTAAAAATGTATTAGTCATCTAAATAGGGCAGTATTTGTTCAACAAGTTTCTTTTCTGTCAGAGTGAATTCAAATGCGCAGGCACAATCACAAACACATTAAGATTTACAATTCAGTTGCTTTAATAATACTTCAACATTTTACTTGAATTGTGTAAGAGTTTTAATAATATATTATGGTTAATTTTTTTTAATACAGGTAGTCCTTAAAACAGTTCATTTAGTGACCATTCAAAGTTACAACAGGATTAAAAAATGTGTTTTTTGACCATTTTTCACACTTATGGCCGTTGTAGCCTGCCGATGGTCACGTGATCAAAATTCAGACGGTTGAGAACTGACTCATATTTATGACAGTTGCAGTGACCTTTTTGCAACCTTCTGATAAGGGAAGTCAATGGGGAAACCAGATTCACTTAACAACTGTGTTACTAACTTAACAACTTCAGTGATTCACTTAACAACTATGGCAAGAAAAGTGGTAAAATGCAGCAAAAACCACTTAACAAATGTTTCACTGAACAGAAGTGTTGGGCTCAATTGTGGTCGTAAGTAAAGGACTACCGTGCTTGTATTTTTAAACAAAGATAACCATTTGATTTGAGTAGATGGACAATGACAGGACAAACCTGAGTAAAGTTACAAAAGTTTAAAAAAGATAGAAAAGTTCCCTCATGACAGGCTGAAATACCAATCAACCCAGTTCTTTGTACTTTAACCTGGTGGGAATCCTAGAGGAAACTACATTTTTTTCCATCAGAAAAGTAATAGGTATCTAACTGCCAACAGAGACAATCTTCTTTTATAACGATGAGTATTAATTATTCTTTGGAGTAAAGTGAGTACATTTACATGCCATTAATCTGAAACATCTGGATTTGCATTCAAGGATTTATGAATTACATAGTTTTGCTTCAGAAGAACTTCAGTAAGGGCTTTGATCAACCTCTGACACAGGACTACTCTGGGTTTACTATTAAAGAAGAGAAAACTTCTTCAGACCATTTCTACCAGTACATTAGTAGGGCAGGAGATCTATAATGAAATTCTCTTTCTTTTGCATCCTAAATAATTGAAACTCTTGACTATTATCTTGCACAGAAACATCTCACTACATCTGAAAATAGAGACTCTTGGGTACAGGTGAGTCCCAATGAATGATCTTCCTAAATAACCACAGTATAGATACCCCTCCCTCAAGCAAGGGAAGGAGCCATAGTATAGTTGTTCCCTCAAGACCAATAAAATGGAGGCAAGGGACCTCTGTAGAAGCAATCCCATGCAATCAGCAAGGAATCCACTGACTATTTTCAAGGTATGGTGTATTCAAGAGATTTATGAACTCTTGAATTTCCACATTACTCAGAAACACAAAACAGTTTATGATTTAAATGATTCCTTTTAATTCTAGACCCTTCACTTTCACTGTACTGTTGGATTTCTTTTTCAAAAAAGAAAACATATTCAAGTGTGCATACTGTTGTTCTCTTCACATAAGGCTACCAAAATGTCCAGCTGGGGAAAAAAATACAAATGAGGAATTTCAGTAATAACAGTTGAAGTACAGGTGAGTGCTCTTTTGGTAAGCAATCACAGGCCACTTCCCACCCATCTCATCCGACTGTCAAAAAAAACAGAACCGATAGTAGTATTTGTTCACCCAAGGTTACTCCATAACAAGATATGTGTGTGTATCACTGTAAAATCTTTACATAATGTAATGCAAGTTTCATCCAAAAGTGAATTCTGTAATACCGGTATTAATTTTTTAAAAAAAAGTTGGTAGAGGGAAAAAATTGTGAAATTGCTAATAATTGTGGGTACAGGTAAAACACAGGTAAAAAGTACCATTCTACTCAAGTTGAAAGCTCTTTTCTTGGCAACAATACAGAAATGATTTGCCACTGTCTTTTTCTCAGATATTTTGATTTCAAAATGTAGTCTACAATTCTGGATTTCTCCTATCCAGATATTAATGTAACCAGATGTTAACTTAATGTAACTTAATGTTTTGAGATAAGCCAAATTTGGCTAAGTGCTCTCACTATTTTGACAAAAATAAATATGCTAGAGAATGAATAGGATGAGAAAGAAACAACTGATGTTTTTCTTTAAAACATTTCATGTCTTGGTTGTCAAAGAATAAGAAAGAAAAATAAACCAGAATGGATTATTTTTTCATTGAAATAATTTGTCTCCCTTCTTCGCATAGGATTGCTCCATCAAACATATGTTTTGTTATATTTTCTTAATATAATTATTGCAAAATTTTAAGTTCTGAACTATTGGTATAGTTACAATAAATCTTTTTCAGGGAAGATTGAAGAAAAATTTGTGTCATCATTCAGGAAGATGTTTTTCATCTTCCTGAATGATTCAAACTAACAGGTAAAACTAGCTTTATTCCTGAACAGTTAAATTAAGTTTGACCAAGTCAGGCACATATAAATTAATTTGGTTGATCAATCATTTATATCAAGCAGAATAAATGTCCTTAAAGAAATTGCCCAATCATTTAAGATTGTTTAATTTGAACACAGATTTATGCAAAATATTTCTACTTCTATGAAAATAATGCAAAAGCAAATGATTTAATAGCATGAGTTAGTAAAGGAATATTTAACCATCACTGCCAGAAAAAAAGCCACCCAATGTTGCTTTCGATAGTGAGATGGGTGGCATATAAATGTAATAATAAAATAAAAATAAAACATATAAATCTGTTAGTCAGGATACAAAAAATTACTTTTCATTTAAAAAAAACAAACCCATTTGGCTAACCAATGGATAGTAGCCACAGTGTTAACCATGATCAAGTCATTAATAGAAGACAATATTTGTAGTTCTGGATTGAAAAAGGGGGTCCTTTGTGCTCTCTGATCTTGGTTGTTTTCTTGCAGACATTTCATTACCCAACTAGGTAACAACATCAATACTAAAAGGGACCAATGATATTACTTAGTTGTTAATAAAACATCTGCCGAAAAACAACCAAGCACAGAGTGCATGCATTATCTCTTCTCAGACAATTAGTTTCTACTGAAGGTAGAAGTAGGCAAGAAGTGGGGAGTGTTCTGAAGACTAAAAAAATCTCAAGATGGCAGCCACAACAACGTAGTCAAACACTTTTTGGATTCTCCCCTTATTTTTCTGCAACAAGCAATTACTGAGTGACAGCTAGGCATGAACTATTGAACTGTCCCCTGTCCCCATCATCTTTGTCAGAGCTGCCTCCACTAGTAAAAAATGGCTTCAGAAATGAGTAAGCTGCATTACCCCACATTCCTTGAACTCTCTAACCCTGCTACCCTGTTTTCCCGAAAATAAGACATCCCCTGATAATAAGCCCAATCGGGCTTTTGAGCACATGGGCTAAAATAAGCCTCCCCCCCGAAAATAAGCCCTCCCCAAAAATATTTAAACGGCAGAGCTGGAAATCAGGTAAGACGGCAAGAAGAACCCCATCTCGCTCCACGTGCCCCAAAATAATAAGACCTCCCTGAAAATAAGGCCAAGCGCTTATTTCGGGATTCAAAAAAAATATTAGACAGGGTCTTATTTTCGGGGAAACACAGGTAATTTCAACTGAGTCAGTCAATTGGGTGGATGTATAGTAGGAATACAGCACAATGCTATTTTCACTTGGGTTTTGTTGTTTATTGTTTTGTTTTAATTGGGATTAAGTATCCAGTTATACTCCTAAAACAACATCTTCTGCTCCTTTTTAGGACAAAGCTGTTCTAGTACGGTATGATTTGAATCATGTTCTATATGTCCCTTTTTGACCATTTTTATGTGGTAAACCTCGGTGGACAATACAGTACAGTGGCTATTGACATCATAGTAACAAATTCTAGGCCGATCAAGCAAAGAACAGAATTTTCCATATGGGTTGCAGCATAAGGAAAAACAGAGACAAAACATACAGATTTTATCCTATTGGACCACACAATTTTCAAGTATCATTTGAATGGTGGAAATATGATATTAAAGACATTCACATGCTAAAATGCATTCTGAAATTATAACAGATCTCTTGGATCAAGCATCTTTTAAGAAAAAGATCTATAGAAGCCTTTTCTGCAGTTTACCAAAAAAAATACACTATGAAGGTTCTATACGACAAAAGAAAAGGCAAAAATAATTATCCTTCATCAGATTAGATGCATCTCTTTCCAATGTCATTATCAATTATTAGCTTTCAAAACTAAGGTCTAGGGAAAGTGTTTATTTATGTATTTATTTACTTATTCAATTTGGAAATTGACTTGACTTTCAAAAAAAAAATATGGGTGGATTAAAATACATTTGAAGGGGAAAAAACCCGAGCAATAAAACGTGGGCAGCTCAAACAGTAATCAATCAAACATAACTGAAACTAACAAAAATTAACATAGGTACAGTATCCACCTAGTCCCTTGTTGTTCTTGTAAAATAACAACAATAACAGTTTGTCTACAAGTTAGCAAGTTGACAACAGTACAATGTGATACAACATTTTGCATATCAGCCAAAGGAAAATGTAAAATTTTGTTCTTTTCCATGCATTAACTACTGAGACCACATACTTCTTATGTATGGTATTTGAGTCTACATTAACTGATTATGTTGATATGTTTTCTTTCATTACGAAGCAAGCAATCAAAAAATCAACAGCCAGGCATGAAAATTTCCTTTAGTATCATTATGCTTCACAATCTCTAACTGTGCTATTTACTGTTTTTCACATGGCTAATAGTAAGCTTAACTACTGAAGATTTAACAGAATAACAGACTTGGAAGGACCTTGGAGATCATCTAGTCTGACTCACTGCTCAAGCAGAAA